GGATGAACAGATCCTAATAAAACTATTAAACTGATAGCTGAAGGCTACATTTGTACCAATTACCAAATTATCTCATGAAGCTGAAAGAGAGTAAAAGTATTTTTTGATAAATGCTAAAATAAACTAGTAGAACTGAGACAAATACTTTAATTTAGTCCCTTATTTGTGCCAAATACTGTACTTACTGACATATTCACAGACGTATTTCTAAAGTTTCGTACAGAATGTTGTTTTCCGACATAATTTAAGTTGTCAAACTCTTGCTGTCTAATGTGTACATAACATTATTAACCTGTTCATGGCTCAGAGAACGGGGCAGTTAAGGTAACATTATTACCTCATCCTCTTAAATAATGCAGTTATAAAGAGTGTAATAACTAACGTCGAGGTGTGTTTGATGTGTGTGTGTGTGTGTTTGATGTGTGTGTGTGTGATGTTATGTGTTGTGAGGGTGTGTGGCGTGATGTCCAGGTGGTCTCTACCTGTGCGTGTGTGACAGTGAATCATACTGGCCAGTTCCTGGCAGTAGCAGCATATGGTGCAGGGGATTAAGGTATTATGCAGTGATGCAGGTGACTGAGAAAGCCTTCTCTAATCGCTGATCTGCTAATTGATTACCTAGCCAGCGGCTCTAACCCTGGACACCAAAATGGCAGCAACTTAAAACCCTTCAATCCTATTGTACTGTGTCATCCTCCAACGTGACCACTCATAGTTGTGCATACAGCAACAAACAAACCATTTTAAAGTGGGTTTGTAGCTCTATATAGACCAGTAGGTTCCTGTACTACACCTGGGTGGTGGGGGGGGAGGGGGGGGGGCAAGAGAGCAACAGTTACTATGCTATGTATTGATCACATAACAAACCCGATCACCTTTTAATCATCTCGGTAATATAAACGCATGGGCCCAGAGAGGATCACTTATGAGTTATGACAGCTATTTATCCCATTAATCTGCTCATATCGTTGGTTTATGGGCTCAACAAGTGAACACCATAAATGCATGTGTGCATATGTGCTCTTTTGACCCCCGCAGCTTTTTAATCAGCCACTTTTGGAAGTCATGCGTACAAGTCAGCCATGTTATGATACAGATTTACACTGAGGAAGAGAATACGGATACAGCAGCAGGGTGCAAATAACTACACACAGCGGCTCGCTTTGAGGGTTTCAGTGTTTTTTTGGACTTTGTTGCTTAGTTTATGACGTAAAACAGGTCAGTCAGAGTTTGTGAGACAGCCAGCCAGGCTGGTGGTTTTCAAGGCTTTATGATTTGTGACCCCGCAAAACGAAGCAGAGTGTACTTGTGATTCCTCTCCACACAGGGTATAGCCTGTTTTTATCACTTAAATAATCTTTTTACTCCATTAGTTTTATCTTAGGACCTCCTGGGTGGGTCTCAACCCACCAATTAGGAACCAATTAGCTATAACTTTAGGTAAAAACAATTAATTTGTGGACTATTATCATGTACCACAAATTAATCCATTGTTATTATGTCCTACCTTTAGTTTAATGGACCCCTTAACACACGTCATTGTTGTTTTGTCCATTCATACTTTATATGTAAATGCTTGATTAATAAAACAATGGCACTGATGCTGTTTCTGTGCAGCTTTTACATGTAACATAGATACAGGTGTGATTTATAACATTCATTCATGCTTTACACCATCATTTATATGTTTTTTTCACTTTTTCCACATGTATAGTCTATTATTTTATCTATTTTTATTTTATTCTACCATGTAAGGATACAGTATATTTTAACTATGTATAAATACTGTATATTGTGTATTATATGAGCACCTGTGACACAAAAACGTTCTTATCTTAATCTCATTTTATAACATTATCTTAATTGTAATCATTTATCATATCTAACTTGTTTAACATGCAACAAACAGTATGTGACCATTAGAAAACATCTGCACTGACAATAAAGATAAAATCCATAATTAGGGCCCTGAATCTGATGGGTCACAGATTTTAATGTAACACCTGTTATGGCCACTTACATAAGCTTATAATGGTTATTTAATGGATATTTAATAGGAATTAAAGCTGATCCAGAATAACTTAGGGACAAATAAAGACATTCCTGACATTGTCCTGTGTCCTATGTGAGAGGAATAAGAAGGACAAAGATGGGGAGGGGAAGGTGGGTGACCATAATCATAATCCTACCTTTGGGAAAGGAGTTCGGTTGAACAGCGTAGAGAAAAGCATGGACCATGTGGAAGAGGATCCCCACGGCCCCTGGCTCGTAGTAAGCGTGGGTATCATAAACCGCCGCCGGCACGAACCCAAAATCCAGCGGCTCCACCGGCGGAGGAGACCGCTGCCTGCGGGAGTCCGCCCGGACCTCAGCCGGAGCTCGGTCCCTCTCATCCGCCTGCTGCTCGCCGCTTGTGGCCCCCCAGCAGAGCAGCAGGACGAGCCACCTTGTCCACAACATGGCTCAGAAAAGTCCAGCTTTGTACAAAACCTGAAAAATAACTTTAAAAACTCCCAGCCCCGGTCGCCCTTACAGTCTACCGGGGGATGTAGAGGGGGAGCGGACACCTGTCCCTCTCTCGGTGGTTTAATCCCCGCAGCGCACAAACAACCGTCCGAAGGGAAACTTTTGAATTTAACATCCAACGGTCGAGGTTCTAACAGCCGTTGGCTCTTCGTCTGGACTCTCCACGCGGACTCATCACGGACATCTTCCCCCGGAGGTCTCTCTTTATGGACGACGGCTCTGAGGTCTGATCATCCGAGGATGTGGTTGTTATCTCGGTGTGTCCTCGCTCTCACCGGCCGGCCGCCTAATCTCGCGTGCACGTTAAAAAAAAACCCAAGAAGAACGCGCGTGACCGTTGAAACCTCACCGGGAGCGTCTGTGGCGCGCGACACCGCGAGGTCCAATCACCTGTGCAGGTCTCTCTCTCTATCTGTCTCTCTCTCTCTCTCTATCTGTCTGTCTCTCTCTCTCTCTCTATCTGTCTGTCTCTCTCTCTCTCTCTCTCTCGGTCTCCCTCTGCCTGTCTCTCTCTCTCTGTCTGTCTGCCTTTCTCTCTCTCTGCCTGTCTCCCTCTCTGTCTCTCTCTCTCTGCCTGTCTCCCTCTCTGTCTCTCTCTCGGTCTGTCTGTCTCTCTCTCGGTCTCCCTCTGCTTGTCTCTCTCTCTCTCTGTCTCTCTTTCTCTGACTGTCTGTCTTTCTCTCTGTGTCTGTCTCTCTCTTTCTCTGACTGTCTGTCTTTCTCCCTCTCTGCCTGTCTCCCTCTCTCTCTCTCTTTCTCTGTCTGTCTGTCTGTCTGTCTCTCTCTCTCTTTCTCTGACTGTCTGTCTGTCTGTCTCCCTCTCTGTTTCTCTGACATTCTGTCTTTCTCTCTCTCTGCCTGTCTCTCTCTCTGTCTGTCTGTCTCCCTCTCTGTCTCTCTCAATGTTTCAATTCAAAGAGCTTTATTGGCATGAACAAAAATATTGTTGGTTTAACCTCAGTTTTATATTATTGAAAGTAAGTAAAGGTTATAAACAGGGTCGGGAGGGTTACTTTAAAAATCTAATCTGATACAAGTACTAGTTATCTGTTTTAAAAAATCTATCACAAATATCACATTAAAGTAATGTAATTTGATTACTCAGTTACTTTTAGATGACCTGATAATCACAAAACAACCCAAAAGAAAATAAATAAGAAGTATTGATGGAAGTTTATTCTATAAGACAAAAAACTGTCCTCTGCTGTGTAAATAAAAACTGATACTAAAAGCTTCATTACATATTTTATGTGCACTTTTTGTTCTACTTTTTTACTCCATCCCAATTATTGGACAGCTTTAGTTACTACGTTTAATGTATTTTATGGTTCCAGCTCGTCAAACGTGATGATTTGCGCCTTTTCCTTTTAAAAAAAATCAAAACATTTGGGTCGATTGTTTGAACAAAAAGAGGATTGTGAAGATGCATCTTTGGGCTCCGGGTAATTTTAACATCAGTTTTCACTCATATTAGAATTTCTACAAACCAATCGATCAATCAACCAATCGAGAATCTAATAAGACTCATCCATAAAGAAAATAATCATTAGTTGCAGCCTATAAAGTTAAAAATTTGCTCCACCTCAAGCAACAATAACAGTAAAATCCTGTTTTTATATTAATATTAATAATCTAATAGTGTATTAATAGTATAAAAGTAACAGGGAACATCATTTCTGAATTTAACTTTTAATACTTGTAAGGTATTATTATCAGTGTGGTATCAGTACTTCTACCTCTGAAGGATCCTCCTCCTGTAACGCAGTGTTACTGTACGTAACTAAAGGTTGTAAACAGTCAACCTCACTTTACTTTTTACTGCTCACTCACCTGAGCAGCAGAGGTCAGACGGTGTAACGGTGTCCGATTACGAGAGAACCGAAGCACACAACCTCGGTGAGTCTCTGCATGAAAGCGAGACAGGTTCATTGACTCTATACCGTGTGACCTTTAGCTCCGAGGTTGATCAGATAAGTGGATACAAGGGGAATTTTGGCAAACAGAAAAAGTTTGAGATTTAAAAAAAAAAGGGAAAACCCAAAGTTCAGTTACAGTCGAAGTTGTGCAAGTCTTGGGGGGTAAATAGCTTTGAAGTCACTCCCAATGATACACTACGCTGGTTATCTGTAAATGTAAAAGTATGTTGGTGTCATTAGGGGAAAAATACAAGTCATGTATCCAGGAGCAGATAATTTATCTAACAAAAAACAGTCCCCCCCGGTGTGTGAATGTGTGATGACAGACTCAAAATGCCCATTGAAGGGGAACAGTGGTCTGCAGTGTTTGCCCTGTGAACAGAGCCCTGCAGTGACTCCTTTCAGTCCAACACCCGCCACTGTTCTCCTGCGCGCTCTCTCACACACACACACACACACACACACACACACACACACACACACACACACACACACACACACACACACACACACATATATAAACAGTATTTATACAGTCACATCACAACCACAAAAGGGTTTAAAAAACAAAAATCTTGTTTTATTCTCCTTCTACCATGTAGGAGTTGTATTACATAGATGGTTTGTACATGAGAAATAAAAACAACGAAATATCCAATTCATACATATAGTATGTCTTTTGGTAGTGAAATCCATTCATGCACTGCAAATTATCTCTCTCGCTCTCTCTTTCACTCTCTCTCTCTCTCACACACACACACACACAAGATGCATCCACACTCTTAATCCTTCCTTTAAAAGACTGCAGGTATTTATTTTACTGTACCGACCGTCCTCCTCTGGTTAACTTGGACTTAGCATGTTTGTGCCTCTCATGTATTATTAGCATTACGGCTGAGCTCTAAACACACACACACACACACACACACACACACACACACACACACACACACACACACACACACACACACACACACACACACACACACACACACACACACACACACACACACACACACACACACACACACACACACACACACACACACACACACACACACACACACACACACACACCTGGTGATATTTGATTTACCCAGAAGGTCTGTTAACTGAAATGTGAGGATCGAAATGTTGTTAATAAAAAGTAAGAGTCTGACGGACTGTGTGTGCGCGGGAAGTGTTTTTGATCCGAAGCCACTAAGACTATTTGAGCTACTTTCCAAGATGCAACTAATCCTTTCTGGGTAGCAGGAAATTCATTATCTCCTTGGTTTGTATGACATAAGAAAAATATAAAAACTTGTATATAAAAACTTGTAATAAACAGCAGGACAAATGTTGTATATCTATTAATAAAACCTGATTTTTGTTTAATGAAATACAAATTAATTAAGGATGTTTGTCATTTTATGGCTAGCAACTTTGTTCGGATTAAGAAAATAAGAGTTGCAGCTTTTGAAACTAATAAAAATCTTTATTATTGCGCAGTAAACTGAATATATGTCACTCAGATTGTTAGAAGAGGCTCTGATGAGTCTGGAAACATCTTTAGAGCGGCAAATTGTCAAAAGACCTTCCGGGTTTTTCAAAGATCACCAGGTATTTTCTCTGTTAAAAATATGAATGTCTAGCACTCTGGCTTGAATGTAATGAAATATTGGCATGAGAGGCAAAACTTTGGGGCTAGGTTGGACCCAGCTTTTGCCCAGGACATACGACTCCTGGCACTTCAGACCGTAGTTATACGATCCACTTAAGTTTGTCGAAACTGCACAGCATCGAAAAGACACACAAGCATTTGGAAAGAGCTTCTTGCAACAATCAAAGCCAGCAGCCAAACACACCAAACTATGCCAGGAAACCTTTAGGGATCAAACCTGGTTCACTGCTCTCTGGCTAATGAAACATTTCTGGGGTTCACCTGCTTTTCATGTGATCACAGTGCTGACACAATCCTCATTGTTTTCTGTGCCGTCTGTTTGTCTGTCAGCAGGATTGTGGGTAAAAAAAAACCGACTGGCCCGACATTCGTAAGACTTGGTGGAAGGGTGTAGCATTGGTCAATAAAGGAAACCCATTATATTTTGGAGCAGATCCGAGATCAACTGTAACACCGGTATCTATGGCAAAATTAACTGAATTCGTAGCGCATGCGTGAACCCGTCGTAAAGTGAATGAACTGAACATACAACAACACGATACACACCTTCTAGTCCCCTTCTACTACTATTATTTAGAGGTGATTCACCCTTACAGCTGTGCCTCAGCCTTCAGGTATCCTTTAACATTGTACATGTAAATCTTGGTTATTTATCGCTGTCAAAGAAGATTTTGAAAAACACGTTAGGTTGAATTTTAAATGAGACCTGGAACAGATTACGTGATTATCTGTACGCTAACATGCTTTGAATGATGACGGTACGCATGAAGCATAACGAAAAAAGAAAGAAAATCACCTAAAAATGAAACATCTTCCAAACTTGTCTGGCCTGGAGCCCACTTCAAAATAAATACTTGTGCCTTTGCAAACAGGCACCGACTTATCTCAGTGCTTCAAAGTAACAATATCAACACAAATTGCACGATACTAAAACCTCCAAACTTTTATCTGCATCGAAAAAAGGTAAAAGTCACCGCTGTGACCAAGCAATGAGGGTGTCGACTGTGCACTTAGTGTCTGCCACGTCTAACGGATATGGATATCTGGCCTCTTAAACTCAATTTAAACAGGAACCTTTTAAATGTGTGTTGGGGTTGTGTGTGTGTGTGTGTGTGTGTGTGTGTGTGTGTGTGTGTGTGTGTGTGTGTGTGTGTGTGTGTGTGTGTGTGCGGCTATTGACTACGGACGATTTTAGAAAAAAGATCTGCGATTCCTAATAAAAACTTTCATTTCAAATATTATAATTTTTTTCCAGGCTTTTTGAAATTAAAAAAATGTACAAAAATTGACAAGTTTTGTTCTCACTAAAAACAACTCAGCGCTGTACATGTGATTGTGCTTTTGAACACATACTCGCACAGTCCAGCTGTCATGTTCCTATGATCACACAGCGACCCACGTTCTACAATTTCACATATGCATATATGTTCCTCTCTTCGTGCTCCGCTTCAGCTGCGCATGCCAGTTTTTCCCCGCCACCCCCCCTCCCCAATCGTGGTCATCGGCAAACATGTCTGCAGGTTGCCGTGACAACCAAGACCCAGCCTCCAAGAGTCTACCTGGTTTCGCGGGGTCACCGACTGGACCAGATGGAAACACCTGAAACGGCCTCTGATGCTTGTAGTAACAGCTTTATGCCTTGGCTGGTTTTATCAGTAATAAATAAATAAATACTCCTTGGGTCAGGTGCACAAAAATATGTCTGGTCTGAGCATGCTCCATGACCCGTGTCTGATCCCTGAACCTCGCTGTTTTGCCAGGACACACCGACTGGTTTTATATGGCATTCAGTCTATTCGGTTGCCACAGATGGTGAAGCGGTCTATTTCCAGCAAATCTTTCTTGGGTGTTCTGTGTTCGAGTCCGTCCCCTTCCAGTCCCGTGTTAGCGTTGATGATTTTGTCATCGTCCTCGTCTGGCGTAGTCAGGAATGTGTCCGAGTCACTCTTAGGGATTGTGGGGACAGAGGTCTCTGCCATATTGGCAGGTGGAGGATTGTCTGATGCCAGTGGTATTCCTCCTTTGTCGGCTGTGGGTTCTGTTGGAGAGAGCGGTAGAGTTTACTGATGCAGCAGAGGAACATACATACTACAACTGACAGTCCAATAAACGCCTCCACCAAAGCAGAAATGTCTTCTCTGTGTGCTGAAGCGGTGTGCATGGGACTGACTGTAGAAAGAGTGATACTCAGCCTTTAAAAAGTCTGGAGGGTAGTAACAGAGCATTACTTCCATGGCCAAGAGGCACATCATTAACTAATTAAAGTTTGTTTGTTGGGATACAGATTACAGGCTAAAGAAAGCCCCATTCATGACTAGCTACATCCACTGTGTAGTATTTCTGTTGGAAAACTGGCCCCTGGTTGTTACTATATCAGAGTGGTGTAACTTTAGCTGCTCCGTCCGTCTGTTTGTTTTGGGAGTTTTACACTCCTTACAAAGACCTTTCTGTTTTAAATTAAAACATACATTTGAAATACTAACAAGTATGTGATTTTTTTCTTTTATGTCTTACCAATAACCAATACTGGGACTAATTAGCTCTACACTAAAATGCTTTAAGAACAATGCTGTGCCTTTATTTACATTTCTTCTACATGGATCATCAACAGGATGCTGTAAAATGTGCCAGTAACAGTTGTTGTTTCAGTTGTTGTCGGCAAGAAAAGAGAAGTTTTAAAAAACTTAACATTTTATGTGGTAAATCTGTCGCTTTTATCATTGTAAACTTTATATGTACTTAGAAAAGGAACGTTTTACAGGCATAGCAACACTAACTAAAGGCCATAGCACACCAATCAAACCTTTTCAAATAAACACAAACAAACACAGATGTTTGTTTGGTCAGATTCAACCCATGTTTGATGAAGTTTGGTTTGCAATGCTTGAGCATTCCCAGCATTAGAGGTAAATGAGAGATGTAGTCCCTCTAATTTGTTTTTATTTTCCTTTCTCATAAGTGGTGTAAACTTTTCCCAACTGCCTGTAGTTGGCTACTGCTCTGGTGCATCTTGCGACAAGATTACAAAACCAGATCTGTCTTTATTTTCCAGCTAACAACAAAGATGAAAAGCTAGCTTCAGCTTTTAGCTTGTCCCCTGTGTTGTCTTCGTAACTAACACTGCTTGCTCCGTATTTTCGTCCGATATTTCTTCCATGTTTGAAGACGTCTTGCCACTTTTACACAGAATGGTATAAAGAGTGTCTCCACATTAGATACCATCTTCACTCTCATTTTTAAAGAACATTTCCTGTTGTTGGAGAATGTTTGATCGGCGTGCCACGAGCTTAAGTAGGGCGGAGAATGCTCTATTTATCAATTTAGGAATAGAGAGATGGATTAACTCATTGCTACCTTGCTGCGGTACAGGATGAACGAGTTTGGTGCGGTGAGCTCTGGAGTTTGCACGGCTGGAGACAACGGAGGGTGGAGGGTCGAAGAGCTTTTCTTCCATCTTGGCCTCTTTGACGAACACACAAGACGTCCCCAGCAGAACGATACTGTTGAGCACCTTCAGAGTGATCATCCTGCACACACAAACACACACAAAACATTACAAACTACATACAAACATTAAGAAACAGAGAAGTAATAACACTGTAAATGTGTGCTCAAAAACTTGACATTTACCCCAGGTAAAACAGCAGCACACACATAAAGGAGAGTGAACCCTGGATCTTCACTGAGCTGGTCACTACTCTGATCAACTGAAGAAAGAAACACAAACACGTCATCAGATGTAAAGTGTATACAACATTAGAACATACACAATGAATATCAATGGATATCGTTATAAAACGTGACTGACCAGCAGAGCTAAAGGCAGAGGGATGAAGCCCATTCTTCTGGATACTGAGTCACTGTAGTCTGTGTAAGCCTGGAGACACATTTAAGACATTTTTCTCATAATTCATCAACAACCAACAATACTCTTTTCTTCCCCAACCACTGCATAAACCATTACATAACAACAGTCAGTCAAAAAGGAAAGATTAGAGGACATTTCCTAAATATTGCAAGTTTTGAGGAAACAACTTATTTAAAGTATGAATACATCACTTTCCTGCATAACAAGCAACCCCACATGGGATTTTGAGAAAGTTTGAATAGATTTTGTCGAACAGTTGGGTGGAGACTCAGCTGATATTTGAACTTATTTCACTCACATTTTTCTGTCGACTACTGACAAGGTCAAATGCAAGGCTGGCTCTGTATTCCCCGTATACCTGGAAAATGACACGGAGTAACAACATTAGTCAGCCAGAGTATAAACATTAAACACCAAAGATATATACAGTTACTGACATAGAAGAAATGAGCAGAAGGTATCTGTGTTATAATGATAATAGATGATAAATGTTAACTTGTTTATTTAAAAAAAACAAAAAAACAAAGCTGCCTCTTGGAGCCTCATAATTCTGAATCTAGATAAAGCCAGTGTAAATTTTAAAAAGTGAAAAAGGCAAAGTGCACACATGGTGTGGGCATTATTTTCTACTGTCTCAGCAACAACCTGCTTTCGCTGTGAGGGAGGCATCATTGGGCTGTCAAACAGACCTCTTAATAACATGGAGAAGGAAATGCTGTGTGCCAGCGAAAGCACGTGTTCACACACATGTTTTGCAATTAATGCTGTTGTTGGCAAAAGAGGGATGTGTAGTTTTTTTTAAATCGCTGGTGGTTGTTTCTGTGTTTGAAAAGCTCCTCCTGAAGCAAAAGTATGTGTGGAGGAACGGGGGGAGCTCCACATCAGGTGCACAAGCATTGATTGACGCTGTGTTGGGAGACTCCTCATGGCTCTGATTGGTTGTTTTCTTTCAGATATAGTGGATTCTCGCAAATGCCATTAGGGGCACTAGGAGGAGCCAGAGGAAGCTGACTTATCTCTATCTCATGCACTACAGTGAGGAATATAGTGACAGAATATGACGAGTTATTTCTATAAAAGTTACCTACAGCAGCTTTAATGGATACACAAGTGCTTGACTGCCAACTACGTGTGAGTGAGGTCTGTGTGATTAGGTTTGACAGTTTGGAGATAAAGGGGTTAATCCCTTCCTGTGGAGTTAGTTTCTGTTACGTAACCAAAGTTACAACTCCTCGAAGGAAATCAAAGAGAAAAAGAAGACAAGAGGGAAGCGGGTGGGAAGCCAACAAAGTCATGATGAAACGGGAGAAAACTACAGTTTCCCTCTGATACTACAGTGTATCTGGAGTGAGACAGTGAGAAAGAACACAAAACACAAGAAACATGTAGTGTAAATCAGTAAAGTAGGTTAGAATAGAGAAAAAGGAAAAGTAAGCTTAAAGATAATCCTAACACCAGGTCCACTAATCAGTTTTTTCCTGAGCATTCGACTGCATCTCACAGTCTCTGTCAGCAGATGGAGTTTTCTCAGTTTCAAGTAAACACGTCCAGAACTGATCAGTGTCATTATCAGTCATCACTACTAGCTATTAAACCCCCTGCCACAGTTGCACTCATTCACAGGGTCATAACTCAGTCAAAACTTAACACAGACATTTCTAAATATAGTGTGACTTACAATAAGTCAATATCTCTCTGTCCACTGCAAGTAAATGTTCACAAAGTGGATTACAAAATAATAGGAAATAAGATGCTCCAGAACACGAGATGCACGTGAATCATGTTTTACGTTTTCTTCACTGTCAAAGTAACCCAGTGATAGTTGACTGTACGTCCATGAGTACTCTGCAAAGAGGAAATGCTAACAGCTAATTCAAATATAGGTTTTAAAAAAGGAGGGCTTCAGTTGTTGTAGCCCACAGATAACTAATTGCATCCATGGCGTCATTGTACTTCCCGTTTACATCTTCATAAGCATCTTCACATTATTATATTATTAGTATCCTCAAAACAGATGCAAGATAAAGAATAAGAATAGGAGTGACAAAATCCACTAATATTAACTTTTTGTGTTGCACTATCGACAGTATTACTGGCTCACAATGCCCTGTAACAACATAGTTCTTATATTCCTGGAGATACAAACACATGTACACTAACAACTCACATGCAAACTGACTGATTGCATTCCTGAATATCCAAACTTATTCTGAAAAACACTATACAGCTATAACTACTATATAACTATACAAGGCATGTCTAGCCAATAGTGGCCCTGCTAAAAGCCTGTAAATTAAAAAAAGGAGTAAAAACAAACATCCATTCACTGTGACTGTAAGATATGGTTTTAAAGCACTGGAAAAAAGCCAGTAAATGGACCTGGAATTGGATTAGTTTGTGAAATTGAAATGCGCTCTTTGTGGTGGTGTGTTCCTTTGGCTGTCACACTTCCCAGGACACCCACTGCACCACAACCTTAATGGATAAAACGTGAAAGTACTGCATGCAAAGAAGGACTCACATCAGCACTGATGTCGTTGAATTTGGTGATGAAGGCGTGTTTGACAACGTCCACGGCGACCTCTGAGGCTATCACCATGACTACGTCAGGAAACAGCACCCACAAGTGGTCTAAAAACAAACACATGAAACCCATCAGTCTTTATTTTCAGTAAATTAGCTATAAAAAGTCAGTAACAGTTCACTGTAGAGCCTCACTAAGAAGGAAGTACGAGTGAGAAGCAGTGTGATGTAACGTCTAGCTGTCATATAGATAAACTGGCTGTGTAAATGCCAGTAATGTCACATTATCTGTACAGCACTGTGTTAGTTACCAGGGTTCCACGAGAACTGCTCCATGTTTCTCAGACAGACGATGAGCAGGAGGATGTAGTTGGTGAACCTCTCTTTTATGTCTGTGGGAAACAAACAAATCAATCCTGGATTAACCTACTTTGTCACTGCGGCTGAGCTCGATTCCATAAATTTACCTTCTACTAAATCACCAAGTTCAAAAGGCCCGAGTTACAAAATGTCCACACGCAAGGCTGATTTTCGGGCTCATGTTTGGCTGTTTTAGGGTATCATTTAGGGTATCAATCAACCACTTACCACTGTTTGACATCTGGAAAAGGTTGTTCTTTTCAAACTTCTTGAACACGCTTCCTTTGATCTCCACAAACTGCAAAAGAAAAAGAACCAAAATATCACAGCTGGACTGATGCTGCATGCACTGTTAATAGAGTTAAATGTGTCTGTGTGCGTTGTACTCACGTTGTTTGACATCATGATGGTGAGCAGGGACTTGTTGTGGGAGTTGAAGGCTACATTGAGAGTGGTGGCCTGAACCATGATGAGGATGGCATGGAGAACTAGATACGAACATTGCTGAGGAAAATACACTGAGGATTATAGTAATGAAGACCTTACTGTGTGTTAATGCTCTTGTACACCCACTAACAGGCATGTTCTACTAGTCTGAAGTAAAAACGTACAACTACTGATTATTTCATTAATTATATTGACTCATTATGTCTATAAAATGTCAACAAACAGTAAAAATTGCCTATAACAATTAAAAAATTTGACATCTTCAAATCAACAGTCCCAAACACCAAAAGATGTTTAGTTTACTTTCACAGAAGACAAGAAAAACACAGTAAAAATTCAGATTTTGGTATTTACACCTACCCATCATTCTTAGATTAGAGACATTTTCTACTTTTCACCCACACTAAGAAATGTATCTGCCAATTTTTGAAAAACATGCGCTGAAAAATTAAAATGTCATCCGAGACTGACAAACTGATGCCATTTCTTGGATTTTTAGTCGACGAATTAAAATTATTCAAATTACAAACTGCTTGATAACAATGTCACTTTGTTTATACCTTTATACTTTACCAAATCCCTTTTTTGTTTCATTCTACTAGTTTTAGTTTTTTCTTTTCTCCCTCTATTTATGTTAATTGCATTGTTGTCTGTTATCACTCTATTCTTGCCTTAACTCATTAGTAGATTTGCCTAGTACTTCTATATTTTAAGTTGTTTGTCTTTTCTTATTGTATATTTGTATTTGAGATGTTCAGGACCCAAGGAAGACTAGATACATACATGTGCTTTTGATGGGGATCCATAAATAATCAATTAACATGGAAACTGTTATAAATAAAGTCCAGAAAAATTACATAAACCATTAATAGAACATCAAAATTATTGTCCATTAATTTCCTGTCGATCGACTTTTTGTTGTTGTTGTTGTGTTGTTTTGTTTCAGCTCTAAGCGGTGTGTGTTTTATTTAACCATTTTCTGACCTCTGTTTTTTGTTAACTCAGGCACACAGGCACACAGATAAACACAGGCACACAGATAAACAACAATCACAGGTCCTTCTCAGTGAGGATACAGACGTAGAGCACAGCCATGAGGAAGTGAGGGATCACGCCTATGTGTGCTCTCTTCTTCTCCTTTGGTTCTGTGGCGGTCCAGTACAGAGCGTCCAGGATGTCTTGGCCAAATGATGAGAACAGGCGGTCCGCCACCTGATACAACAGGGGAAGGACGGGAGGGGGGGCGAGAGTGAGAAAGAGTTAGTGACTAAACGTGGGAGCACAATCAGGGTTCTAAATATTATTATTATTATTATTATTATTATTATTATTATTATTATTATTAGTGTACCTCTAACATGTTGTATATGATGTATAGTTTGATGACAGACTGTCCCCTGATCAGGTGGTACATCATGGCGTAATCCACGTAGCTCATCATAGAGTAACACAGCACCATAATGAAGCCTTTCAGCACGTCACACACCTGGGCTGGCTGGAGCAGGCGGGAGCCACTAAAACACACAAATTACACACGGAAGAAATGTTTTTACAGAAGAACGTCACAGGACAAAGAAAAACAGAGTACCAGAACATGTTGTTATAATCTGTTTAATCTGAACAAAGTCAGAGAGAGCTCTACTGCCATCTAGAGGTTAAAAACAATGTTGCACTGGTTGTTTCTCTTTACAAATGTGGACATTGACATGTGATGATATTTACCAAATCTGTATGTATCATTTAGTTTGTAACCACGCTGCAAAAAAAATATTATTTTCTTATATGACTTAATTTTTTTATTTACTGATGAATCATTGGTCTATGAAATGTGAGAGAACAGTAAAAAGATAAAATAATAATTTCCCAGAGCATCTTCAAATTGCTTGTTTTATCGAACCAAGGAATCTAAAACCCAAATATTTTAGTGTGTTTATGGTGTTTGCTAAATACAGAAAAGAAGCAAATCCTCACATTCGAGAGGGTGAAACTCAGAGAATATTGACTTTATTGCTCGATAAATGACCTGAAGGATCTCGACTCAACTTGATTCAATCGATTATCAACATTGTTGTCGATAATTCTTCTGTTTAACCAACAAACGATTGATTAAGTGATCTAGCTATAGTTTGTAACGATGTACAAACACATTCAGACTTTCTTTTAGAACTTAAACATTCAGTCGATCAACAAAAAATTAATCTGCAACTTTTTTGATAATCTCTTAATTGTTTAAGTGATTTTTTAAAAGAAAAAATGGAAAAACATTTGATGGTTCCAGTTTTTCATATGATTATGTGCTACCTTTTGTTGTCGTACAGTATAACAAACTGAATATCTTTGTACTGTTGGTCAGACAAAACAACCAATTTAAAGACGTTAACCTAGGGCTCTAGAAACATGTAATTTTTTTAATAGGCCAAAGAAAATAGAAGGCAGAATAACAAGTAAACTTCAGTTGTTATGTATTAATAGAAACATCTGAACATCGTTGAAACACACAACAATGCAATCTAATACAGCAGCTCTGCAATAAAAATACCCTTTTAGATATAATAAACCTTGTTTTTTGTTAAAACTTTATCAGAGGGGTGGTAATTCAAATTTATATTGAGGAAATGCTTTTGTTAGTCAAATATTGTTAGTCAACATGGTTAATGATCAACTCAAAACATTTATTTACATTTGCATCCCAAATACCTCAGCATATACTTTACCTGAGGCCACAGCAAGGCAACGTGAGGAGCCGTAAAAGGGCCAGAATCACCCTGAGGGGCAGCAGGGTGAACACGTAGAGAAAGGCATCCAGACAGAGGAAGAAGCCGAATGTCATCAACTGAAGAGAGAGAATGAAAATAAAAGAGGGGGAATATTTATTTATCTGGGACTTTTAAAACATTTCCCACAGTGTCTGTTTGTGTTGTTTGTGTGTTTACCTTCTCGAGCTCCTTGGGGATGCGGAGGCAGGTGTAGACCCTCTCTCTGCGCTCTGTGTATTTGGCCTCATTGTGTTCCAGGAAGTAGCCTCTGGTGAGCTCAGTCGTTATAAATCTGACCAGAGACAGGTCTACAGCCAGAAAAGAACAAGGTATTAAACACATATACACACACACACACACACACACAGACCTTACAGCCTTTTGCCTAAACCAACCATCCTTATCATTAACTGAACAACAATGAGGTTAAGTTCAGGGCTCAGACAGGCCAGTTAAGTTCTTCCACATAAAACAAGGAAAACACTTTCTTTATGCACTTTTTTGGTTTAACAAGGCAAGAAATTTCCTTAAAGTTTAAAGCACACTATTGTCTAGAATATTATAGTACTGTGCAGCAATAAGATTCCCCATAGCACCAATGCTATATATCAAAATCAATTTATTATTCCAGGGAGAATTATTCAGCCTATGAAAACACCTCTAATGTTTTTTTGTTAGGCTAAGCATGCGTTATAAAATGGGGGGTGAAGTTTGAAATATGTGGTTGTTAAGCAAGCAAGAGGGGTCTAATGATTCTCTCTCTATTAAGCTGCAATATGGAGAATATATATATATGAAGCTTGACTCAAAAGGCAGGATACCCCAGCTCCTGTTGCATCCATGGGCACAGAAAGGAAAAGCAAAAGGTGTAAACATTCAATTTAATAATGGCTGCAGGGTGCCAGTTAGCTGCTTTGGTATTGTGCATGCCGGCTCACTGCCTGCTCCACCTGAAACAGATCATTAATGTTATTAGGGCTAACACCTGGGCTTTTCCCACTATGACAAGTCAAAATATTTGCTCTGGAAATGGCCTATTTCTGACCAGACTCCTCTCAGCCAGTCTCTCAGCTTTATGTAAGTGTAACCAGTAACTGTAACCAATACGCCAAATCAATAAAGCATGACAAAACAGACACACAACTATGTGTACATGGGTTTGTCCACATACTTTTGGCCGTGTAGGGCAGCAGCAGCCTTTCTGAGTGCGCCTGTGCAAAGATTGAAGCAGCACGTCTTAGTTTGACAGAGAGACAAAACTGGCCTATTTACACTCCTGCATGATCACATCTGTGCACCAGTCGCGACTCATAATCCCAGTTATATTGTTTATTTACTGTAACTGAGCACTGCACTGTACTGCTAGTTAACATCCTGACACCAGAAACTCAGCAGCAGCGCCCCAAAAAGCTGCACAAGACTGACTGAAATTGCAACTGCGTGCTGAAGCGACTGTCACTATGACCCACAGCCACACGTACAGTGCAGCAAGGCGGTTATTTGAGCAACCTGTGTGCCAGCAGACACAAATACAGACAGTTTTTAGCTGCTAATAGCTAGCGCTGTCAAACCCGGGGTTTAACACCGAGGCTAGCTCTCACCTGACAGGTTGCGTTTCTTGCCCTTACTGCCGCCATTTTTATCGTTGCTCCTCAACGTCTCCGTGAGTCCGTCTGTCTCCTTGTTCTTCTCCGTGTTGGCCGCCTTTGTATCCCTCTCGCTGTCCTCCTTCTCCTTCTCTTTCTCCTCTCCGGGACCTGACGACTGCGAGTCCGCCATCTTCGTCGAACGGTCTCATCTGCTGCCTGGGAGACTGACAACTGCGTCACATGGTCTGACGTCATCACGCACTGTAGTTTCATCCAGCCACCGGCAGGCGTCGCCAAAACGTCCGCTGAGCGCCTTTGGGTTTTAGTTGATTGATTAAATCATTAATGGCTGATTGATTGGTTGGTTTTTTTTTTTGGTAGACTACCAATTTTCCTGAGGTTTTTTTTATGACATGGCCAAAATTAATTGGTGTATTCGAGATCTGTGTGTGGTACCTTTTCTACCTTTGGGTGTTCATCTGGGGTTCAACACTGGAATTTAAGACTTTGGTTTAGCTCCACAAACAAAAACAAAAACAAAAAAACTGGCAAGGTGCATCCTGTCTATGATCTAACTATCACAGCTTTGATGTCATATTAGAATAAGATTTAAAAGGAATACAATATTCGACCGAAAACATTACAAAAGATAAGAGCAATAGAGAATGAGAAATAATGAGGTGCAACAATGTAAATAAATACATAAAATACATTTTATGGCTGCTGCTGTTCCAGTATTTCTATTATAAATGCAATAAAAAGAAAAAATGGCATATTTGAGATGAAAAGAGAGCTGGGTTGGATTTAGCCACTGTGACCAAGCTGGATTACCAACTGGGTAAACCAGATAAACCGTCAATTGCACCACAAATGCACAATACAAATGCAATGATTTAACATGAACCCTGCATTTTGTAAAGATTTGTTTAATCAAATTACTACAAACTAACTGCACACAACAGACATGGACAGGTGTGGAGTTCCAGCTGCATTAGGACTTGTTAGGCTCTTAGGATTTAAGGCAAAATACAGTAATATACACTGAACTTGATGACACGTACGCATCGCGGTGCAGTACATACTGTACGTAATGTGCAGATGGTGGAAAGAACAGGTCTTTAACATGACCCACAGCTCATTTTACCCAGGGGGCTTAGTGCACGACTGGATTAACCTGCTTGGGGTCTCTGAGGCAAAAATGCACAGTTGAGCCCCTGTTAACCATTTTGTCACACTCAACTATGGTCATCATGTATTTTCCTTTACTGGAATAATAAAAAAAACTTAATTTTATTGACAACAGATTAATTTAGTACCATGTACATACAGTATCACCTTAAAACTAGATTTTAAAACAGGGCTTTTTTAAGACAGTGTCTCAAGATCAGGAGCCAATTTACGGCCCTTATAATGTGAGTGGATATCGCGCTTTAATGCTGCATGTAAGTGACAATTTATTCATTGTCACACTGTGAGTCGGAGGCATTTGGGGCTTTGAGTGATCCAGCCTTAAATGTTCATGGCTTCAAAATTTAAGATGTCTTTATGAGCTTTCTCTCCAACAACAGGGTTGCAGTTGCATCTCCAATCAGGTCATTCAGAGATATAAAAATAACAATATAAAGTACTGAGATATACATTGTTAATATATTATATCATTATTAAATATACTTTATTTATATATGGCACATTTGAAATACAGAGGCAATTAAAAGTGCTTAACATAAAAAAAATAAAACAATAAGTAGTAAAAAAAAAAAAAGACAGTTACAGTGCAGTAACAAGTTGCCCAAAATACCACAAATACAAATGCAGCAGAGAAACCAATTAATTGATCAAAGGCACAGAAGAACAACAGAGTTTTTAAATCTAGACTTAAAAGTAACGTATCTGAGATCCTCAAAATCTGGGTGTCGTCTGCATAGTTGTGATAATCATCACTGTTGTCACGTAGCCTAGTATTTGACCAAGTACAAGTACATGTACGGGCTCAATAATAGAGGCCTGAGAATGGAACCCTGAGGGACTCCACATGTGGTGATTTGTTCAGTTTTATAATGATCTGGCTTCGAGATTTGTGCCAGATAATCCCGCCCTCATTTCCAGAAGAATTCAAGAAGTAATTTATGGTCCATGTCACCAAAACTGATAAATGCAGTCGGTGGTGTGAAGTAAGTAACACTTCCTTTTACTTTACTTGGTTTCAATTTTAGCTCATTTCTACTTCTACTCCACTAGTTTTTTCAGAGGTAAATATTGTAGTCCACTACAGATGAGGTGGATACTTCAACAGATTTTTTTTTTTTTTTTTTAAATATGACACCATAATTAACTATCCAACAGCATATAAAGTAGTTCAAATGTGCTCTACCTCTATATATAAGTAATAATATTCCAATAATAAAACCACTTATATGCAAAATATGGACTTTAATAAATAAGTGGAGCATGCTAGAAACAAGATGTATTAGGACTATAAATCCTTCTTCATCTGAACTCATTGGTCCTTCAGTGGTTCACGCTGTCCTCCCCTGACCTTTAGGGTTTGTGTTACAATGGACCCTATATGTCACTCTGACACCATTAAACTACATCATTTTATTGCTGCAGCCACTTCTAAGGTCACCAATCGTGATTACATTTCCAGCTCAAAAGGCCAAGTTGCAAAGGTTAATTCATCCCCTGAATTAAAGAGCAGTGTGTGTGTGTGTGTGTGTGTGTGTGTGTGAGAGAGAGAGAGAGAGAGAGAGAGAGAGAGAGAGAGAGAGAGAGAGAGGGGAACCAGGCGCACGGGGGCCCGGATAGAGTTTCTCCCGGTAAGAGATCTCTCTGACCGCCATAGATTCGGTTTCTCCAACGCGGTGACTTCTCTTGACATCAACACATGCAACTTTTCGCCAAGAGTTATAACTATTTATTTCTTTTTTGTTCACGATTATGATTATTTTTTTCCTTTTTTAAACTCTAGATTAAACTCATGGTGATTGCCGAGCGCGCTCCGCGGTCGCTGCCCGGCGTAGTGTTACCTTCCTCGGGGCACGATGGGCTCGTAAGATGCCTTCGCTGTGGAAACGGATAACGTTCTCGGTGGCCTCGGTGCTCTGTGTCGGCTCTGTGGTCCTCCTGGTAGTGGCCCTGTCCACGGAGCGGTGGGTCGCCGGGCGGATCCTGTGTAAAACCGGGGCGGAGATAGTGAACGCGTCTCATCCGGAGATGGACCAGTTCATCGGGGACATTTATTACGGTTTGTTCCAGGGAGGAAAGGCCAAGAAGTGCGGGCTCGGCAAGAGGCACTCCAAAATATACAGTAAGATTAATAGATTAATAGATTCTTCTTAACACTGTGTAAGTTGTGTGTGTGCACCCAAGTTAAATATGGAGACACAAAGTATTTCATATTAAATTAAAAAACATTAAAAACATTATTTATTTCTTGCAATATAAACAAATATAGATTAAATAGCCTATATAACCATGAAATTGTGAGATAATACAGTAACTCCATCAATAAGCAGTTCACATGAATGTATTAATCAGTAAAAATGTCACATATAACATTCAGATAGATCAACACAGTTTTATCGCCTCTTGAAGTGATCAATAAAGCAAACGTTAACCCTCTGATGAATAGCTCACGATATCAAGATAGATAGAAGATTTAAGAGCAATACAAGTCCTGGAGATCACAAAGTTATCCAAAAATGCCAAATATATCAGTGTGAAATTTGGGGAAATGTGTTTAAAATTATGCACAATGCATCTAGAACATGTCAATTTCTTAAAAAAAAGTTAAAGATAAAATCAGTCTTCTGTTAAGTATTTAATTTAATGTAAACATATAGCTTATATAATACTGTCAGACAGTGGAATAAAGGATTTTTCCAGCTTCAAAGACACTTTTTTAGCACAAATATGAAACTTCTTTACTGTTTATGATAATTATTATATATATTTTTTTTTATTTGCCGAAACAATCAATAAAAAGGCTACTAAAGAGGATTGCCACCAGCTCTCTCTTTCTTTATATTAAAAGAATAAAAAATACACATAACCTGACACATTACTGATACTGCTACATACTGCAAACATGCTATTTAGTTAGTTTACTGACACTATTCTATATTGTGTTACTAAATATAATAACTAACATAGTAATACACCAATATTTTAATGCAAATATGCAACATAACATCCTGTACTAGGATGAATCTGAGGACATTATCGTATATGCTTTCATGATGTTCCACTCAAATACAGGTGATATTCAGGTGATGTTCGCAACCTGCTCATGCTCAACCTTCACTTTTCAAACCTTCTTCTTGAATGCTCACATACACACATATACAGTATAGGTCACTCTCCTTCAGCTCAGCCTTGTTTAACACAGTTTGGATGCTGCCAGTATTAGCGTTCATCAGTCCGTCAATGTGTGTTTTTATCTTTTTTCTTCGTTGCTGTCTGACTGCTCAGTTTTCCCGAAGCTTGTGCGGACGTTGAATGGTGGCCTTCACATGATGGTGATCCTCTTCCTGCTGGTGGCCGTGGGCTTCGCGTTTGTCAGCCTGTCTTTCTGCATTTACAACGCACGCAAGGTTCCCTACCAGAGCATCAAAGGGCACAAAGGACTCTACCTGTGGAACTTTATTGCTGGTGTGTGAGGCAACGTCACTCTTTTCTCTCAAATATCCCTAAAATGTAAATGTTTTTCTTACTTGTTTCACACTTCCACCATCATTTCTTTACATTTCTGCTTCTGTCCACTGTATAATTTGTGCAGTTAACTCCCCTTTATGTCTCTTTACCAAATTCTTCTTATTTTAATTTAAATGCCTATAGTGTTTTGTTCCATCCCTCTTCCTTTCCTTGTACTTCTGAGCATTACTTAACCTCTCTAATTTGCATTCATTTGAATGACCAGGGTTATTAAGAACACTTTACACACATTTTATAACTTTTTAGCAGATAAAAAACAAGACAAAACCAGTTTCCTGCCCTACATGCCGGTGTAAACATGTAAATCCTAGTAAAAAAAGAGGAGAAAGTCAGAAGTTTAAACATTTTTATGAACTAATGTTTTTTTATTATGCCAGATTTCAGGCGGTTCTGCACCCCTCAGCACTGATGCTTCCTGACCTTTCTCCCCCTCTGCTTCCAGCTCTTTTCGGTGCCCTGGCTATGCTGTGCTTCCTGGCAGCCGTGAGGCACCACGGTCTGACCGAGCGCGTGGCCAATTATCGCGAGAACCTCTTTGTGCTTGTCGTCCTGGATGACAGCCTGGACTGGTCTTTCTGGCTGGGTGTTGGCAGCATTGCGACTCACTTTGCCGTCTGTGGAGTGGTTGCCATGAGCCGGATCAAACTGCCCAAACCGGAGATTAAGAAACCTGAAGAACCCACTATTTCTTCTCTGGATCTGCTCTACTGAAGGACCAACCCGGGAGCACTGTTTGGTAGCATTTACATTACTGATGGTTGACTGAAACAAAGCACAATGACTGACAGCAGAGTGAAACCAACACTGTGCCAGAGCCCCATTGTTTTACATTTTATTTTTTATTTTTAATCATTACAGCCTCACAACTAGCGTTTAAATCCTCACTTGACACGTCATTCTCCAGGGTTAATACATGTTTATTTGTCTGTGATAATTATTTAAAGGACTCAAGTGTTGACTGGAAGGTGGTTTAAAGACAGTTCTTCTCATTTTCTGCTTAATGTTCACAGTTTTCTCTGCTACCAGGCTCCAGGTACTTAACTTAACCTCTGCACTATGGACATCCTGCACTGTGTATATTCTGTTTATAGCTGAATTATGTAAATACGTTTTTTTTCATTATATGTGTACCATCACTTTATGGTAGTGTAAAGTCTTCTGTCTTTGGTTAAGAGCATACGTGATGTCCCTTCATGAAGAATTTAAAGGTTTTTTTTAACAGTAATTATACTATTATTATTCCCTGATAGAAAGAGTGCAACTAATGCATGAATAATGATTTATTATAAGAGCTTCCATAAACAGAAAGAGACTAAATAATTATCCGTTTATTCGTCAAAATGTTAAGTAATGAAAATACTTTTATGACATGTGTTGAGTCAGTTGCATGACTTCAGAAGAATGTGAAAGCTTTCCCCCCTTTTCTTGTCATTGTTTTTAAATTGATATTTACAGAAGACATCGATTAAACAATTGGTTGGAGTACTTGTTTCCTCTTTGAGTGTGTGTGTGTGTGTGTGTGTGTGTGTGTGTGTCTTTTATTTTCTCCATCCCCTGAAAGCGGCCTGTCTTAAACCTGCAAATAACAGGTCTCAACCCAGTGAGGATTTACTTATATGTCAGTGAAAAGACGGAAGATTTTGTCTCTCAACAGAGCAACAAAAAATCTAAGTATTAGATTTAAATTATGTGAGAGTCTATTGTGTTTTTTTTAATCTGAATTTGACAGAACGCAATCTGATTTGTTTTATGAGAACAACCCATTAATTAAATGTGCTCTTCCAGAGTAGATCATTTCTAGATTGTTGTATTGGGAATGTTCACTCACTGATATTATTAATTAAGATGTACTCAAATCTTTTACTTATAAAAAATAGCAATACCATATAAATACACTGACACAAGTAAAAGTTCTGCATTCAAAATGCTACTGAAATAAAAGTTAGTTAGCAGTATAATATACTACTTTTAGGTATTAAAAGTTCTCATGATAGAAAGTTTTACTTTATATCCTGCTGGGTAACTTGTGTATTTACACATGAGATCAATTAATTATTATATGAACCTATAATAATACATCACAGTTTGTTATTAATCTGTTGTTAGATGAATGTAGTGAAGTAAAAACTAAAATATTTCTTCCTAAAATAAATCCGAAAATTAAAATACTCAAGCAGAGTAGCTCACCGTTGTACTAAAGTATAAAGTAATTGAGTAAAAGTACTCAGATACTTTCCACCACTGGTTAACTCCTGCAGCTGCACGCTGCTGCCGCCAGGTGGCGACCAGGCTTCGTTGTCACTGTCGCTTGTATGTGACGTGTGAAAAACGCGACGCTGTCAGGTCGAGCCGCTTCCCTTTCGCACATGCATGCGACCTCTACAGCTGTGAGATAATAGTTGGTTTCTAAAGCTTTCTGTATGCAGAACAGATGACAATGCTTCTTCTGAGGAGAGCTGCGCAGGCGGCGGTGAGGACCAATCAGAGCAGGTCGTTCTCTGCGTCACAGACTCACCTGAACCACAGGAAGGTGAGTGACGTTGTAGGCTGACAGGTAGTTACATCAGTGGCTAACACAGGACTCATGTACACACTCAGAGGGGGGGGGGATTGGGTTACGTCACGGTTGCTCAAGTTCATAAATAAAGAGAAATTATAATAATTATGTACATCCAGTTCTCTCTCTCTCTCTCTCTCTCTCTCTCTCTCTCTGTGTGTGTGTGTGTGTGTGTGTGTGTGTGTGTGTGTGTGTGTGTGTGTGTGTGTGTGTGTGTGTGGTGTATTTCTTGTTAACCCTTGCTGTGCTGATGTGTGTGTCTGCAGGGTCTGGTGCTGGGAGTGTTTGAGAAGGAGGGAGAGGAGGGCAGCCTTCATCTGACGGAAGCAGCTGCAGGTTTTGACCAGAGTCTGTCTGGGAAACTCTCCGAACTGCTGAAAATGTGAGTCGGTATTTGTGTTGTTATGTGTGTGTTACCTAGTGTTGGTGTGGTGACGATTGATAATCAACCCAACTAGTGTGATTGTTAGACGGAGTAAAAGTGAACGTGTGTACTCCAAACAGACCACTTGAGCTTGCAGAAAGGTTTATTCTCCTACAACAAAACACCAGCGTGTGCATAGCTACACCTCAATCAACATCCACCTGTCCTGTTGAGCTCACCTGTATAATTTCCTGCATCCATACGCCACCCAGTGTTTGCACAATAGTCAGAAAAACATGCAGTACTGGGGCATTCCTAATAGATGTTAGGTAAACACTGTGTAATTCCTTGCATAGCTGGTTAATAATCTGCTTTTGTCGTGTACTTTTCCAGCTCTGGTCCAGCTCTGAAGAAAGGCAAAAGCAGAGTATTTTATGGAATTCACAAGGTAACAAGGTGTGACGTTGGATAAAGAAAACCGTGGCTCCTCACAACATCAGAGTAGTTAAATCTGTCTTGCTTTCTTCTTCAGGACTTCCCGTGTGTCGCGGTAGTCGGGCTGGGTAAGAGCAGTGCAGGTGTGTGTGGGACCGAGAACTGGGACGTCAGCAAAGAGAGCATCAGACAGGCGGTGTCGGGTAAGACACGTGACTCTGTGTGCGTCTAAGTGTTGGCTGCATGGAGGATTTACTGGAGCTGGTTTTCTGGTGTGATGATGTTTGTGTATTAGGATCAGAATCAGAAATACTTTATTGATCCTTGGGGAGGAAATCGGGTTAAGTTACAGTTGCTCAACTTCATAAACAAAGAGAAATTATAGGGGAAATAATAATAGGTATGTACAAAAAGGTGCATTATACTACAATATATATAGAAAAATAGTAGATAAAACATGTAAAAATCTTTATACTACAATATGTAAAAGCTGTGTAATAAATAAATACATAATAATAATGCTGAGAACTGGCTCTATGAATAGGTGTACTAATACAAGAATTACAGTATACAGTATAATTTCAGTGTTAATGTCAAAGTAAACTACAGTATTGTACAGTTTAAGTTATAAATTATCAATAAATGATGGGTGCTGACGGTCTGTATGTATTGTGTGTATGTGTGAGTTCAGCTGGCTGCCGGTTGCTTCAGGACCTGGAGGTGAACCACGTGCAGGTGGACGCCTGCGGTGACGCCCAGTCGGCAGCAGAAGGCGCCACTCTGGGTTTGTTTCAGTACGACCAACTCAAATCCAAGAAGAAGACCAAAGTGACCACACAGCTTCATGGAAGGTAAACTAACTTACATATAGTAATAGAGTTGATATATAATGTGTGTGTATTAATGTGTCTGTGTGTGTGTGTATATGTTCTCAGTGCTGACTCGGCCGGTTGGGAGAAAGGACTCATGTATGCTGAAGGCCAAAACCTGGCACGGCTGCTCATGGAGGCTCCAGCCAATCACATCACTCCGACCGCTTTTGCCAACACTATCGAAGAGAAACTAGCGGCGCACGCTGAACGAGTCACAATAAACAAAAGGTTTGTGCTACGTTCATCATCACTGACAGCAGTGTGCTTTTACAGTTAATTATTTTATTATTTATATATAATTATGTGTTGATCTGTCAGTTGAAGTAACAGAGACAAGTGAAATACAACATTTTGCTTGTAGGGAAGATAAACATTCAGCTGGTATTTGGCCTAAATATATACTAATAATATTAATCATAAAACATCAGCAGCATGGACTTTATACGAATTTAACAGGCTGGAAATTGTCAATCTAGAGGTTAAACAATTAGTAGATTCATCTATTAAGTAATTTTTCAAGCTAAAACACCAAACATCAGTTCCAGCTTCTCAGTTGTAAGGATTTGCTTCTTTTATATCACGTGAACAATGAATGTCTTTGGGTTGTGGATGTATGGTTGCATAAAACAAGAGATTTTATAGTTTGTTACTGTGGGCTGTAGAAGACTCATTTTACATTATAGAGCCTGAATGATTCATTAATAATAATGAGAGAAAGAATCAATAAAGCCGATCTGGAAGCACTTCTGAATCTACTCTTATGTACTTTATAGCTTTAAAATGACTCAAAATGTTTTCTGAATGACATTCACATGAAAGCAGCAACAGAAAGATGTGAGGATAAATACAAATATAACAATTATATGACTGATCTGATGATAGTTAACAGCTAAATCTAAATATTCTATCACTTGAAATAATGTGTAGTCTGATTATTGATCCTTTTTTGATGCAGGAGAAGAGTTTTTGTCTAATATTTAATGTGTTTATGTAGATCTCAGGCTTGGATAGAGGAGCAACAGATGGGAGCGTTTCTCAGCGTGTCCAAAGGTTCAGAGGAGCCCCCCGTCTTCCTGGAGCTACATTACAACGGTTCTCCCGACAGCACGCAGGCCCCGCTGCTCTTAGTGGGCAAGGGCATCACCTTTGACAGGTAAACCATAATGGGGCTGTGAGATATGACCAAAATCCCAGGTCCTGGTCTAAGTGATTTTATATCTAGATAACAATATATCACATTGTCTGCAAATTCAATGAGTAGAATATAAAATTACCACCATGTCAGACTTTTCATACCCAAACCGCACCCATAGGACACATGTAGCACTTATTTTAGGCCACAAGCTCCTCATTTTGTCCTGGTTGATCGGAGTCTTTCTCCTGTTTAGAATTACTCCTTTCTTTGTCACGTTTACTCTCCACCATGTTTGTTTCGGTTGCCTTCATGCAAATTTCCTGCCTGCATCTGTGTCCTGCAGAAGAACGCAAAACGTCATCTAAAGGATAAAAAAATGGTGCCGTAAAGATTTGTGACGCAACAAAATAAACGATAATATGAAACAATAGACTGTTTCTCTGTTGTCATATCACACAGCTCTAAACCATAATAATGCACACTCCAGCTCACAGTCAGGAAGATATCTGAATCACATCTTGTAGAAAATGTTACAATGCTCACATTGAGGTGGTCTGTGTCACGCTTTCTGTTTGTTGGCAGTGGTGGTATTTCTCTGAAGCCGTCTCCTTCCATGGATGCAATGAGAGCTGATATGGGAGGAGCTGCCACCGTGTGTGCGTCTATTGTCACAGCAGTAGCTCTGAAACTGCCCATCAACATTATTGGTGAGCTTTTTGACAATATGGATCCTCCAAGATCATTTTCTATCATATGAAACTGTCTTTGAATCACTGTGCTACACTGTACTTATGTTTGATTATGTCATTGTAACATATTGTTGTGTTGTTTTCTAATGTTAAACCAGGTCTGGCTCCCCTGTGTGAGAACATGCCCAGTGGAAAAGCTACTAAACCAGGTGATGTTGTCACAGCCAAAAATGGAAAAACAATCCAGGTAGGTGATGAAATGTGAAAGTTTCAAACAGTTACCTGAGTGTGAAACAGTTGTGCACGTATATATGTGTGTGTCCAGATCGATAGGTTTTTGTTGTCATTGTGCGCAGGTTGATAATACAGACGCAGAAGGCCGACTGATTCTCGCTGACGCACTGTGTTATGGGCACACCTTCAACCCCAGAGCCATTGTCAATGTTGCTACACTAACAGGTGGGATTCTTCTGTGAGATTATTTACATTTGAGGCCAAAAACAACTTTATGTTTACATCACCTTTGCGTCATGTTATGAGGCTGGTTTTGACTTCAACTTGACTTTTGTTTGGTACGATTCAAACTCCGGTCTATTCGCTTATTTGGTCTGGAGTGAAGACTGTTAATAATCAGATGGAGACCACCTTTAAAAACTGCATCTCAAGGAAGTAAATGTCAAAGAAGTGATTTACATAAATGATAATATATAATTATGAACACATCTGGAAGTGCTTTAATTTCCCCTGATTCATCAGAAAGTAAAAAAGGAGTTTAAACATAGGCGTGGTGAGTTGTTCAGGTGGTCTAGTGGTTAAGACGCCAGCAACATTCCCAATTAAAATCTTGCTAGGGACCTTTGAAGAATGTAAAACCTCATATTCCCTGTCTATATTTTCCCACCTTAGGCTGGTAATGTTGAGTAATTAAGTAAAAGAAACGCAGATATAATGACTAAATATTAAAAATGTGGATTCTTCTGTCTCCAAGGTGCGATGGATGTGGCTCTCGGCTCAGCAGCAACTGGAGTCTTTACTAACTCTGACTGGCTCTATGAGCAGCTGCACAAGGTAGAGTGTCTGCACAACGAACACACTCAACATCTTAGTCCCTCCACTCCTGTGTTGACTAATGGTGTTTGTGTTTGTGTGTGTGTGTGTAGGCTAGTGTTGTGACGGGTGACAGAGTGTGGCGAATGCCTTTGTTCCAGCACTACACCAGACAGGTGACTGACAGCCAGCTGGCTGACCTCAACAACATCGGCAAGTACAGCCGGTACGTATCTCACTGTACTCGCCTGCAGCTCCAGCTTCAGACATCAGAGCAGCACAGAAACCTGAGCTGGTTTATTAATCTGGAACTGTTGTCAGAGCAACAAGTCCTGAAGTTCAAACATGCAAACGGGTAGCTTATTGACAGTTAGCTGTATCAGGACCATGACAAGATATAAATGGCTGTATGTATTGATATTATTCAGTTTTTAGTTGAGAACATGAAGTTTATTGTAAAACCACTGAGATCTGTTATTATAATTACATTATAATGAGAACTTACCTATACTTATATATGATAATAAATTGAGAATATGGAATTTAATTTGACATTAAAATGGGAATTCATCACTTGAACAATGAAATTATTAATTCAATTATTAACAGTGTGTCCATGTCGTCTTAAAAAGTCTAAAATCCAATAATCAGATTTTTAGGCCTTTTTAAATGTATTTTAAATTTATTGGATAATTATTATTTCTGGCTTTTAAATATGTTTATGGGGGGGAAAAATATTAATGTTATTAAATATTATATTATATGTTATTATATATCTAATCTAATTTAACAGTGGTGACAATGTTTATGGAGCACAATGTAGAACAAACTGATGCAGGAACAAACATAAAATGAGACTTATGTCCATCAGTTTGTTGCCACAGTGCATGCTGTCAAATAATCACATAATCACATAGTCAACACTAATCGTATATATTTTAAAATAAGAGCACAGCGTTACTCAAAATAACTTCATCCAGGGTTAACAAGGAGGAGTCAGATTAACTGGATGAGAATAAACAGCATTATTGTAGCCTGATTACAGTTTGTTAGACTGAACTACTTAAGTCACATTTGAAGAACAGGGCCCAGGAGTGTTAGTATTTATGGCTTTATCAACCTGAATCTGGTCTGTGGATGATCTCTCTCTAGTTCTGGCGGGGCATGCACAGCAGCAGCATTCCTGAGAGAGTTTGTCACAGCTCCTCATTGGGCCCATCTGGACATCGCTGGTGTGATGAGTAACAAAGATGAAGTTCCCTACCTGAGGAAAGGAATGTCTGGGAGACCAACGCGTACGCTGGTGGAGTTTGCTGCCGGACTGGCGCACAACGGCTGAGAGTTTGACACATTATCAGATCGGACACGAGACAGAGAGCTTCTTCTCTGGCAAGATTCGATAGTGATCTCACAACACAGACAGGAAGAAAGTCAGTATTCTGAAACAGTGTCATTTCCATGGAAGAGCTCTGAATATGTTGGCGGTGATTCATAGCTGTATTTTGTATGAAAGGTTTTTTCCAGGCCACAGTTTAGGAAAGGTTCACCTCTCTAGCTCTCTAGTAACTACATAGTTCACATAATTTATAAGTATATGTATAAATAAACTCTAAGATTTTAATTATATGTGTGACTCATTTCTTACCTCAACATGGGCGTTCACTACTTGGCCAAAAATATGTGGACACCCAAATATTACACCCTTATGTGATCTGTTGAATAGTTAACCTATAAAACCCTGACTGCTGTAACAGCATCCACTATCTATGGTGGCCCTGAGGTGCAAATCACAACAGCAAATCAGAAAACACATAGATATGGACTATTGGAACCCCTGTTTCTACCTCTCTTAGGTATCCCACATTAACATGGACGTATTAATACAATATTTTCCTTATTTAGTGGTTTGAATTTTCAGATTTGGCAACTTGAACGCATAGGTCTGGCGGTGTTGTGTTTCCGGTTCAAAGGACGGACCAGTTCTTTTGTCCAATCAGCGACGACTCATGTCGCCCGAGGATACCTACCTTTTCTGGTTTGGTTAATGTCGTTGTGTTTTCTCTTTTTGTCGTTGTGTTTTCTGATTTGTCGTTGTGTTTTCTCTTTTTGTCGTTGTGTTTTCTGATTTGTTGTTTTGTTTTCTGATTTGTTGTTTTGTTTTCTCTTTTTGTTGTTGTGTTTTCTCTTTTTGTGTCGTGTTTTCTCTTTTTGTGTTGTGTTTTCTGATTTGCCGTTGTGATTTGCACCTCAGGGCCACCATAACTATCAGATCTTGGACGTCCTCATTGTCAGGCTGTTGGAAGCACACTATTATCTAAAAGAGGTTGTTCCTGTGACTCCTTAAAACAAACATTAAGTTAAACCAAAGAGTGTTTTTACTTCAAAAGGTTGAGAAATAATAATCTAAAACATTATGGTGTGCTCAGCTACTCAAACCCTGAAAGAAACAGACCAACAAAGACAACATGTGAACAAGGTTGTCCACAAGAGAGACTACACAGAAACATCAGCTCTGTGCGCATGTGCGGACCGGTGAGCGCTCAGATCAAGATGGCGTCGTCAATGAGCGGGATGTTTTCCGGTCAGCAGCCGTCCGGTGCGCATCCCGTCGGGGGTCCCGGTGGACCGGGTCAACCGGGGTTCCCCGGTACCGCCACCAGAGCGCCGGGAAACGTCACCCTGGTGGACGAACTGGAGGCTTCCTTCGAGGTAGGACGCTAATGTGCTAGCTTCCGTTAGCTGCGTGTGCTAACTGTTGTTATTGATGTTTATGTACAGGTAGGTGAGGTTGCTATGATACTGCAGCCTCACACCTGTGGAAAACTCACCGTGTTCATATCACCTCTTTATTGGGAATAGTGTATATATATATATAGATAACAGTTTAATGATTAAATGAGTTAATGCTCAGTTACTGTCAGCTTTAACCCGACAGCAGCAGCTCTACTTCGGCCCCCTTTTCTTCTTCTCTGTGTCCCTAAAACAGAAATTAAAAATAAAAACCCAACCTATAGCGATTATTTAACACCCCAATAACATAGCTGTACTTATTGTTTAACTTTTCCACACACTAAGGTCACATTTAAACTTACTGGCATATTATTTATACTGGTTTAAGTTTATCCTGCGCCTGTTGTCCATGGTTTGTTTTGCTTCCAACTTTATGGGAATATTGTTATTCCAGGGTAATCCAATCAGTATCAGTACTGCTTTCCAGGGAAGCTTTTATACATATACATTAATAAAATAATCAGGGTTCTTACTGGTAAAGAGACTTGTTCTCCAGTCATGGAAAACACCTGGAAATAAATTAAAATGACCAAATATCCTGGAAATAATCTGTTTTTTCTTGGCAATTTGTTATTGTATTTAAGCCCCTCACTCAGATCGCCTACCTGAATTTGGGGTAGAGGAAAACTGTTAACCTGTGTCACTTAAAATCACTAGAAAATGTGGAATAAAACTTGGTAAAATGTGTTAATACTAGGTCTACTGGTAAAGTTTATGGTGCTATCCTGTATTTCCAAGAAAACTCCTGAAAAATGCCCTGGATAAAAAAAAGTGGAAACCCTGTGTATATATATATTAATACACAATAAAACAATAGGCCTGTTGAACAGTTGGTTCCCTTGTTCCTGTCCCAAAATGATTTTCAGACAGATTTCAGTACCAGCATGAAACAGAAAGCTGGTCCTCAATATGTCGTTAAAGGAGAAACATATTCTCATGGCTAAACATTTGACACAGCCTATATCTTGGGGACCTACTGGTTGTTATCCTTATGCATCCAGTGAGGAACTAGAGAGCTTTAAACCCACCTCTACTCAAACCTCAAAGGAGCAGGATTTTAAACCACTCATTTAGAAAAAGCAAAATGTGCTGATGGGTTTTTTTCTCTTTGTATTTATTCTTCAGGCATGTTTTGCGTCCTTGGTAAGCCAAGACTACGTAAATGGGACTGACCAGGAGGAGATTCGAACTGGTGAGTAAAGATTTTCTTTGTTTTTTTTGTTTCAGGTAGTTTTAGTTGATGTAATACTGTAAAAAAATATCTATCTTTGTGTCTGTTTGATGTGGTTGCAGGTGTTGATCAGTGCATACAAAAGTTCCTGGATGTGGCTCGACAGACTGAGTGCTTCTTCCTACAGAAGAGGCTTCAGTTATCTGTGCAGAAACCAGAGCAGGTGGTGAAAGAGGTAAATTGACCTGCATTCTCATTTATCTTGTCAGTTCAACTCAAATCCACTTAATTTTTCTTCTGAAAACTACTTTTGTTATCCCTAAATTATTATCTGTGTAAGCACAAAACAAACCCCTCCCTGAGAACTATTATCCATGTCACTGCTTTTATTTCTTAGACCTGAATTTCTCTCCGTTTGTGCCTCTTCTTCTCTCTTCTCACGTTCATTTCTCACTTCAGGATGTGTCAGAGTTACGTAATGAGCTACAGAGGAAAGAATTGCTGGTTCAGAAACATTTGTCCAAGCTGCACCACTGGCAACAAGTTCTGGAGGATGTGAGCGTTCAGCACCGCAAACCCTCGGACCTTCCTCCTCCTGGACCGCTGGCCTTCCTGGAGCAGGCCTCGGCGAGTCTGCCCCCTGCCCCTTTAAAACCGAACTAACACACGAAAGGTGCGGTCACATTAGACTAAATGAAAAACACTCAGGAGGTGATGTTGAACTCTTGACCGGCCAGAGATTGCAACACAATAGGAAACACATGCCTGCGTTCATCAACCATACAGGCTTGAAGTGAATGGGAGATGTAATGTGACCGTACCTGAGCAAGAGCATCATAAATCATGACCTGGATAGTTTTATTTCAACTTTTTTCCCCCAGTATTTTTGATTTCTGTAAATATTTCTGTTGACTTTTTTTTTTTTTTTTTTACTGTAAAAACAAAATAAAATTTGTGAGAATTTGTGAGGTTTTTCTTGTTTTTTATTCTCGTACTGTGCAAACACGCTTCCATGTTTCTGATTAAAAAACACTTTACGTAGAATTTAAAGGTCCAGTGTGTTGGATTTAGTGGCATCTAACGGTGTAATTGCAGATTGCACGATGGAGAAACTACGGTGGCCGCGGAAAACACGACCGCTCCTATCTAGAGCCAGTTGGTTTGTCCCTTCTGGGCTGCTGTAGAAACATGGCAGTTCAACATGGAAGGTGACCAGTTGTAAAATGTCTTTAGTGACTCTGTAAGAGCTTTAATAAGTCTTAAAAAAATAACAAACTGGGGACATGGAGTGTAAAGGATTTATTTACCCAGCAGAGATTATCTAATAAAGATATTCTTGAAGCATTACCAATACATAATCAATACTTGGCTTGTTCTACTTCAATTTTGACCATTATTTGTTTTAATCTGTGTCCAAACTTCATTCAAATGCAATACAAAATCACTAAACATGTCCCACATGGGAGCGAGTAGCTGGAATAAAATCACTTCTAATATTAAAGTGAACTCTCGTCATTACAGCTCAGAAAACAAACCTGCGTACACCTTTTTAATTCAATGTCACTTTGGTATGAAAGCACTGGAGAGAAATGACTTCAGATAAGCCATGACTGAGCCTCCTGACAGCCTGTCTCTAATGTATTCAGTGTCTTCTCACCATAACAGACTTGTTCTCCCCAGTTTTCACAGCTGAAGCCTGTCCACTGACGGTACAGCCAGACACCAACCTTCACAGATGGGCTCTGGGGACAAAGCTCGTTACCAGAACAGGGGTCTGTGGTCCTGGCTTTGGAAAATGGGGAGTAATGGATTTACTGTAAAGCATTTGTAGGACTCCAAACAGGCTTCCCTTTTCTTCTTCTAACACATGATTGAGATGTTTACTTTGTTGACTCAGCTTTACCTTTTATGGGAGCTGCCAGGAAAAAGAGAAACTGATGACTCATGCATTATTAAAAGATACAAACACTCACTAATTCAAATTTATGAGACATTAAGGCAAAAAGAGTCACAATTTAGAGATAGTGAATCAAAAATGTTGAGATAGTCAAAATAAGATATAAATATTTTCAGTTATTAAGTCATAATTATGAAATATAGTATAAGTATAATATGTAACATTTTATTAATAGATACTGAAGAAATATAGGTGTAAGTCATAATTATGAAATATATCAAGTAAAAAAAGCACGAGATAATCACTACAAATTATGAGATTTGAAGTCATAAATATTGTTTATTGGGAATCTCCATTAGTTGTTGCCTTGGCAACCACTCCTCTTACTGGGGCCACAAGGGTTTTAAGATATAAAATATAAAAACACTGTGAGGCAGTTTGAGATAATTAATCAAAACTGAGATTATAAGGCAAGTTTTACCTTACTATAAGTCAAACTTAATAAAATAGAGTCTTATGAGTATTAAAATGGTGGTTTGTTAAGTCAAAACTAGATTTGATTGGGAGATTTATGTTACAAATATATCTTACAATGTGGATTGTTACATGGCAGATCTCTTCTTGTGAGTGTAAATATAAATAATTAACATACAGTTATTATCAACCTCACTGTACAACATATTGCATTACCCACTGATGTGCACTATTAATATACAGTAGCCTATATTATTGTATCATTGTAAATATTAGAGTCTTTTAAAGCTTTAATATTCTCATATTTCATTTATTTGTATGTGTTATTTTACATTATTTGGCTTTTTCTTGTTCTCTTCTCTTTGTTCTGAGTCTTGGTGAAGTGGCTGCTATAGAACTACAATCTAAATCTTAAAATGTTTGTTATTGTTGTTATTTATTTACCTTTTATATATCATTATATATCTCCACCCCACCCACCCACCCACTACACTCACCCAACCCCTGCTCAGTCTTCCACAGCTAGAGGGAGACAGTGCTTTCTTGTGGGACGCCTTGGCCGCTCAGAGGACCGTCTTTGCCGACATGTCCTTGTTTGTGCGTTTTAATCAGCGATTGGAAAATAACAGGTAGCCTCGTCCGTCCGCCTCTCGCACCCATATACACCCAGGAGGGGGACGAAGGGGGGAGAGAAATACCACCCCAATAAACCCCCTTTGTGACTCTATTATTGGCTCTTTTTCCTGCGCATTTGTTATTTTTTTGTATTATTATTTTTTTTTTGGGAAGAGAGGTGGTGCTGGTGGTGAGGTGAGGAGGTGGTGGAGGAGGTGGAGGAGAGGAGGGGATTGTGCCCGACAGAAGGAGGCAGTCTGCAGGGTTACAACAGCCGGGTTGAATCGCAACGTGTTTTTTGTACTGACTGTCACCGCAGTTTGGGTGGTGGTGGTTGTTGGTTCGGGGGGTCGGGGTGGGGGGTGGGGGGTTGGTTTTGTGTATTTATATGCAAACAGGGCTGATATTTTAATGGGGCAGCCGTCAGCCTGTCTCCCCGCCTCTGGACAGATGATCGCCGGGATTCACGCCTGAATTTAGACCCATTAAAAAGACGACATTGTGGATATGGAATGGTGCATGCCGCTGGGCCAAGTTTTCAGCCTCTGAAAAACACCGGAATCATGGACAGTCATCCGCTGTAAGTGCAAAGAAGCTGACTGTATGTGTGTGTTACTGTATGTGTGTGTTACTGTATGTGTGTGTGTGTGTTGACGTTTTTCCCAGTGGCTGCTTGACTGATGGTGCCGCATTGACAGAGACAGCGGCCAGCCGGTGTGTCTGCTCACTGACCGGTGGAGGGTGGGAGGAGGAGGAGGAGGGGATGGACCGCCGGTGGTCACTGATACCCGGGGTCTGATACCGAACCTGTCCGCAGAAGATGAACGTGTGTGAGAGGGGATGAATGTGTGTGTGTGTGTGTGTGTGTGTGTGTGTGTGTGTGTGTGTGTTATAATGTTTATGATATGTTGAGGTGTTTTATGGCAGAAGAGATGGGTTTTTTTTCTTCTTTCTTTTACTGTATGTGTCAGTTTTCTATATTAGCCATGTGTGTGTGGGTGTGTTTGTGACAGAAAACAAGGGGCCACGTGATTTTACCATGAGCTGTATGTTATGTTTAGTGTCAGTGTTGGATGTTTTATTATGAAAGAGAGAGAGTACAGTCACAGTTTTGAGCTACTTTACTTTCATTTTCTGGTGTTTTATAGTTTTAACCCCCCCACAGTAAACTCCACTATATTTATTAGCTTTGTTTTACATGCAAAAACATATAATAAGCTTATTAAAATACCCTATTATCAGGAGTTTCCAACTTTTTCTCATGGCTCATGACCCCTAAAATTATAATGATTACAATAATAATAATTGTTTCACAGAATACTGCTATGATTAGGGGAAAAAACCCTGAATACAACTTTGTCCTTTTTTAAAATTTCTTCTCCCATTAATCATCTCATAAACCCCTCAGATTTACCCCCCTTTAACTTTAAACAAGTTAAATCAGCTCCACACTTTTAAATGCTGGATTTGATGCGTCAGTATTAACAGTTTAAAAGAAATCACTCCCAGAGAGGTGAGAAAGAGATTTTAAGTACATTTTGCCTGTAATGTGTCTGTACTTTTTTAAAGAACAAGTTTAATTAAGTATTTTTACATTAATGCATTTGTACTTTTACTCAAGTAAACACTTCTCCCATGCAGTACTGCTGAATATTAGTTAATGATGTTTATGTATTTGTCGTTTGAAGTGCTCCAGCATCTACAAATCCAAATTTGCACTGAGTGGCGACTTAATTAAATCAAGGCTGGTTAATCATCCAGACCTGAAAAAGCCCCATGTTCACTGTGTGGTAATTGGTATCTGTAATTTGATTTATTGCTCATTTGTTAAGGAACAAAAGTACTAAATCCACAGTGTCCAGCCCTTCATTATTATCTCATGTTGTGGCCCCCGTCTGGTAGAAGATCCCTCTGCCAAGAGATCACCTAAAGACTTTAAATATTACATTTATATTGAGCTCAAATGGTTTGTATTCCTATAAATAATCAAATCACCTCAAACCGGTTGACGCTTATGAGTGCCGAGGCCAGGTTGTGTTATTAATCCAGTACAGGTTGGGTCTTTATTTGATGGTAACTTGGAAGAAAAAGGGGTACGTATGCGCTGCACAGAGGGTGGGAGGTGAGGTGGGGGTGTCACTAGGAGCCAGTTTATTAGGTTCCTGCTAGCTAAAACTAATGCCAGGTCTCCCTCGGAAAAGAGCTTTCAATCTCAAACTCAGACTTCCTGGTTGAATAAAGGTTAAATAAATAAAGATAAAATACAACAGTCCTGCAGTAAAACCCTACCTTCACACAGGGTTATAATAGGGTTTTATAGAGGTGTTGATTCAACTTTATGCTCATTTTGGAGGATGTAGTGTGTGGTACTGTTGAATTGTATTGCATTATAATGAGAGGTAGCTTTTAATATTCGTTATATTCTAATATATATATATTATATATTCTAATACGTCTCAATACAATGGAGGTGAGGTGGAATTTGATTTGTGGTGCTCACAGCATTAAAAAAATGACATTTAACAGCAACATCTGTCCCCACAATCAAAGGCCCCAGTTACTTTATAATCCAGTTTTCATGAGGACAGTGTCTGCAGGAGCAAAGCAACATCTCAAAACCTCAGAAGATAAAGATAAACCCACGTGGCGAGAACCTCTAGAGACAAATGAAATTTTAAATCGCAGTTGCTACAGTGCTGACTCATATCAGGGTTTAATGCCACAGCAGCATTTGTCACATACTAATCAGTCATCGTATCCCAGGTAACCTGTGACCTCCGTTTCCTTTTCTTCACATACTGCCTCCGTGCTTGGTGTCGGTGATGATTTGGATAGATGAATTCAATATAACCTGCAGATTGACCCTCTTTTATAGCTGACAAATGCTGCAAATTGACATTCAACCTGGTACTTGAAGCAGTGTTTGTAACTGATATAAATAAACTATCACGCAGGAAAAGGGTTTATATTATTCTCTGT